GGTAAGGGGAGGGTCCAAGAAGATGGAGTCTACCAGCCCCAGCAGCAAAATCTATAGGCGATGTGCAGTATGCACCTGATGCCAGCACGGGTCTGCACCAACATAGCTGGTAGGTCCCACCTGGCCAGATAAGGTTGCCTGCAAAGTTAGCTGAAGCTTGTGTGACCCTTGTGCTTTCTCCGGATGCCTCATTGGCCTCAATGACAGTAACGGCTTGGAGGCTGGCGACTTCTGGCAGAAGTGAGCCCATGGATATATCACCACCACAAGTGTCCAGGATCATGAGCAGGTCAGTCTCTTCCAAATCTTGACCCCTAAGTGCCTCGACCGTACAACTTTCCCCGCTTATGCATGTGGCCTCATTGAAATATGGCCCTGCAACTGATAGGCTGCCGATCGACAACTGGAAGTCCTGAACCGGATCAACACAGGAAGCTCCGCGTGCACACCAGCACAGTTGGTATAGGCCGCCCTTTGCTGTGACAGCCACGCTGCTGCCCCAAGACACCTTGGCACCTGTGGAAGTGACAGCGTCTGCAAGTCCTGCACCTGGAAATCCGTCAACCATTGCGCCTGTGCCACAGGTCTCCATGACAATGAAGGCATCTTCACCCCGAAGATCGAAGACCACCTCCCAGCTGTTGTATGCGGCGGGCAGGCCTGTGGGAATCCAACCTTAGACAGACAGCAAACGAGAGAACAACTTCAAAAGTGCCATCAGTCTTTAACAGCTTTGATACTGTAGCTGAACAATGCTCAACAGCTTCAAGGCGCGGGATGCGTCATCCAGCTTGCCATCAATCAGCTTGCTTGCAGAGTAGCTAACACCTCCAGAAGAGTAGACAAGTCCCGAAGCCGAGACTATTCCCTGGCCTTGGCGGAAACGCACTACCTCATCTCCCTGCGCCACGAACTGGACTTCTCGAAGGCGGGGCTCCTGGCCCGAGTATGTCTGGAGGACAACTAGCCGCCAGTATGGGCGGGCGGACGGTGACCAACCGCCAAACTCCTGCTCGCCAACACCCGGCGCAGCTGCGCCGTTGAAGGCTTTGGTCCAGGGACCGCTCGAAGACTCCGAGTAGTAGAGCTCCCAGATGCGAATATCATGCGAAGTCGCACCATCCTGATATATGCGGATTTTGGAGATGTGGTACGAAGATGACAGACCAAATCCCGTCACGCCTTCGAAGGAGCAAACCTGCCCACTGACACAAGTTCGGAGCTGGAGCGAGGGGCTTGGGCCCACCACCAGGAGTTCACCAACATCCGTGCGGAAATCTGCCAAGCTGCTGCAATCCTGAGCATTTGAACACCAGCAAAGTCTGAAGAGACCGCCTTCATCCAGCCACCGAGAGGGTGTTGCATTTTCTGCAGTAGCGTCCCAATCAAACAGGCTCAAGGATCTTGATTGGTTCAGATTCGAGCTCAAGGCCAAGATTGCGGTACTGGTTACACTCGCACAAGTCTCAAGGATGGCCAGAATACCAAAAGAGTCATCAGTCGTCTGGAAGTAGCCTTGCAGAGGGCTCAATTTGCACTCCTGCCCTGCTGTGCAAGTCCGATACTGCTCCAGAGGAGCCGGGCCAACAACCATCAAGGAGCCCAGGTCAGTGTCAAAAGAGCTTGGGAGGTTGCAGTCGGCAGGTAAGGACATGTTCTCCCCTAAATCTGCACACCAACAGAGCCTGTAAATTCCGCCGGCACTGGAAATGTACTTGTCCGAGCTCCCGCTGCTCCAAACGGAATCCCCAATGCCTGGGACGGTACTCGCAAGACCACATGTCTCCAGAATCAAGACAGATCCGCCAGCGCCGCCAAAGCTTACTTGGAAGACTTCCTCAAGCTCACAGAGCCGTCCGCTCACGCAAGTTCTCCCCGCTAAGGAAGGTGCCCGTAAGTGCAGAAGGCCGACGTCAACCTTGAAGCTCTCCGGCAGGTTGCATTCGAAGGTCGCTGCACACCAGCAGAGTCGATACTGGCCACCAGCCCCGGTGACATGCATTATTGATGAAAGAGCCGATATGGTCACTGGAATGGGAGTGTTTGTAGAATTTGCCTGTGTGTCTGGAGGCTGGAGAAGGGCCGCTTCATGCACATATGCGGTCTTGCCACAAGTGTCAAGTAGCATCAGCTGATCGCGAGGTTGCAAGAACAATCCTTCAAGGTCATGGAACCTGCAAGCGAGACCGCCCAGGCACGTCTGAGTCTGTGACAGAGGCGACGGTCCAATCAACACCAACTCCCCCACGTCCACTGTGTAATCTGCAGGCGCGCATGTCCTACCGTCCATCGCTGTGCACCAGCAAATTCGGTATATGCCACCAGCAGCCGTCAAGACCGCCGGCACTCCCTGGTGCAATGGAATGTCAGCCCCCGCAACTGGAGTGGGCGGCCGTCTTGGAGGGCATACATCATAGATGTAGGCGCTGGCATGCGCCGACATCTCTGCTAGTGTGATGGTGGAAGAGCTGAAATACAACGTGCAGCTCTGACCACTGACGCATGTGCTTTGTTGCTGGAGTGGATCAGGACCCAAAAGCATCAGCTGTCCAGCATCAACCTGGAAGTCAGTTGCCTTCTCACAAGGAGCTAGCCCACACCAGCAGAGCCGGTATACGCCACCAGCGGAGCTCACCCTTTCGCTCAGGAGGAGGCCCCCAGCATCTGCAAAGCCAGCGGGTGCTAACCGAGCTGGCAAGGAGAAGGTCCCACATGTGTCAAGCACCATCACGGACAGGGATGCATTCTCTTGAGACGAGGCGTTGCTGTTGCTCTCGGGCGGGAACATCTGTAGACCTTCCACTTCGCAAGTGCGCCCGCTGATGCATGTCCGGTCCTGTGAGAGTGGCGATGGGCCGAGGATGAATAACTCGCCTACATCCACCCGGAAGTGGCTGGCCACATTGCAAACAAACCCAACGGCGCACCAGCACATTCGATAGCTTCCACCAGCAGTGGATGGCGCATGCAACCAAGAAAAGATCACGCCGCTGCTGAACACCAGTGCAGTCTGTGCAGGTATTGGACCCCTTGCTGCCCGTGAAAGCAAACCATCCCAATTTCCACATGTATCAAGCATGAGAAGCTGATCCCCTGGTGTCAGGTGATAGGCTCCTGCGCCGGTTAAGCCATGAATTGCACAAGCTTGGCCGCTGATGCAAGTACGGGTGGCTTGCAGTGGAGAGGGACCGATGATGCTCAGGGTGCCTGCAACCACCGTGTAGTCTTCCAGCAGACAGGGCTGGTCTAGGCTGAAATTCATCATTGACACATTTTCAAACGAGGGCCGCGGGCACCAGCACAGACTGTACTGCCCAGCAGCCACCGGAGTCACAGAAAATTCGTTCATTGTAAAACTGCTGAGGGGCAGGCTTCTACCATCATGGGTGATCACATTCGGCATGAAAGGTGCGCTTGGGCTTGAGCCACAGGTGTCCAAGACCACAAAGCTGGCAGTTGTTCCCAAGTCCTGACCTCCGATGCCATCAAAAGCGCACGCCTGTCCAGCCACACAAGTTCTCATCTGCTCCAGTGGACTCGGCCCGACTACCGTGAGCATACCAAAATCTGCATTGAAATCCTGCGCTCCGAGACAGTTCAGCATAGACCCTTGGCACCAGCAAAGGCGATACTGCCCGCCACTCAAGGCCAGACTGGAGCCTGGCTGCACAATAGCCCCAAAGAAAGCGTTGCCCACGGTACTGTTCCCGCCCGTGGTTGAGCTGTTATCAACCAGGGCAGTCATTGTAGCAGAATACCTGGAGGCCGCAAAGCCGCAGGTGTCAAACACGGCCACCACATCCCCCGTTGCAAGCCAAACGCCTTCAATGTGGAAGGAGCATGCAAGCCCGGAGATGCACGTGCGATGCTGAGAGCGTGGAGCAACCCCCATGACCAGCAATGATCCCATGTCGACACGGAAGTCACTACTCACAGCGCAGGCCGTGTGACTCAAGCTAGCATTCCAGGATGGCACGCCTGCTCCAGGGCACCAACATATCCGGTAGGTTCCTCCAGGCTGTGTCAAAGCAAATGATGCATTTCGTGCATCTTGATGTGTGACTG